TGCTCCTACCTCTAAAGTTGAGGCCGCTCCTGCTACTAAAGTTAAGCCTGTTGCTGCTCCTAAAGCTGAGGCTGCCCCTGCCGCTAAAGTTAAGCCTGTTGCTGCTCCTAAAGCTGAGGTGGCGGTGGCTGCTAAAGTTGAGGCTGCTCCTGCCCCTAAAGTCGAGCCTGAGCCTGCCCCTAAATTTAACCCTGCTCCTGCTCCTAAAGCTGAGTTTGCCCCTGCTCCTAAAGTTAAGCCTACCCCTGCTTCCAAAGTTGAGGCTGCTGCCCCTAAAGTCGAGGCCGCCCCTACCCCTAAAGCTGAACCTGTCCTTGTCCCTAAAGTTGAGCCAGTCCCTGTTCCCAAGCCAGTTAAAGCCCCATCAATACTGGAACCAGTCATCAAGAACGACAAGGGTATCTCTTTCTGTCTGTTTTTGCCTTCTATGCTTATGCTGGTATAAGCATGTATACCCCAAAAAAAAATTTTTTAGCGTCACTTCATCAGTGAAAGTAAGCCTGGTAACTTTATGGTCTGAAAATCGCCTTTCTTTAGTCTTTGAGTGAAATTAAAGCTTCAGTTGGATGCTTTTCGGGAAGTTGTTCGAAGAACATTGGGCCAATAGCTGAATGTTTTTTGAGTTTATCAATGTGAATTTGTTCAGACTTGTAAGTATAATGGCAATTTACTTTTGCTTCCATTTTGAGGCTTATGTAAAGTATATAAAAGTATTTGTGCCATTTAAACACTGTTAAACTGATTCACCCATTTCTCCATTGCATTTGAAGATTTTGATTATTCTAACAGGATTTTTGGTGAAAATCTATGTGTCTAATGGCAAATTAATTTAATGTGTCTGGGTGTTTTAGGGTCTGGCACTGAATCTGACAGTGATGAATCGGTTCCTGAACTGGAGGAGCAGGACTCTGCACAGACACAAACACAGCAGGCACAGGTAAGATTCTTTTTGATCTTCGCATACAAAAAACATTATTTTTCCCTCCACTTCATTTTCTCTCACCATTTCTTTTTCAGTTTTACATTGGCATGAACTGAAATTGCATTCCCTTTCCACAGCTTGCAGCTGCAGCTGAAATCGATGAGGAACCTGTCAGCAAAGCAAAACAAAGCAGGAGTGAGAAGAAAGCCAGGAAGGTAGGTCATCCTCAGGAACTGAATGAATCTAACTTTAACACCAAATTCAATTAGAATTAATGCAGTATTGTTAAACTGTACCCTTTCTTCCCTTTGCCAGGCCATGTCCAAATTGGGGTTGAGACAAGTTGCTGGTGTTACTAGAGTAACCATTCGCAAGTCTAAGAACATTCTCTTTGTCATTACCAAACCAGATGTCTACAAAAGTCCAGCTTCAGATACTTACATTGTCTTCGGTGAGGCCAAGGTAAAGATCAGAAAAAAACTGCTTTCTTATTTAAGGTTGGTGTGCACTCCTCCTATCTCAGCCATGTTTTGGTTGACAACTAATTTTACATGGCAACCTTGCCTGGTGATCTGGACCAAAGTGACCTCTTGATGATGATTTAAACAGTTTGACTTTCGTTCTTCTGAGTCTGATGAAGCCAAACTTTCTGTCCTGAGAGAGGAAACTTTCACAGTGGTGTAAATGAAGAACATATTGAAGCCCAGAAAACAAACTAAAATCCTGATGGTTTCTGCTACTCTTAGATTGAAGATCTGTCCCAGCAAGCCCAGTTAGCAGCTGCAGAGAAGTTCAAGGTTCAAGGAGAAGCCGTTTCAAACATCCAGGAAAACACACAGACGCCCACAGTACAGGAGGAGAGTGAAGAGGAAGAGGTGACTGTTAACACTGTTGTGATTCTAGCACAGAATAATACTGAACATGCTTTCATGAAAGGTCTTCTGTTGATGTGTTCAACAAATGTGAAAAGTAAATGTCCACAGTCGTGAGTGATTTGCTTTACCATTTGCAGGTTGATGAGACTGGAGTGGAGGTCAAGGACATCGAGCTGGTCATGTCACAGGCCAATGTATCCAGGGCAAAGGCTGTGCGCGCACTGAAGAATAACAATAACGATATTGTCAATGCTATTATGGTGAGTTAAACTGATTTTCTGTTGGTTTTTTTTAATTGATAGAATTTCAAAACTCTTCTGTGATGAATTAACATTTGACTTTCGTTCTTCTGAATTTGTCCTGAAGCCAGTTCATTTGTTCTGAGAAGATCTCAGGCTTTAAATGTGGTGTCATGGTATCAAGCAGTATTACTCAATTTATCTTTTTGCCTTTTTTCTTTACAGGAATTGACGATGTAGATGGAAATCAGGGACTGGGTCACATTAAGATGTTGCTGATTTGATCTACACTATTGTTTGTACAATTTATACCCAAGAGAAATAAAGGCGTGGCTTGATGAAATGATATATTTTGTTGTATTTTGTGTATTTATTACTATTCATGGAAATGTATTTCATTGTATGGTGAATTTGCCCAGAGAAGCTCAAAACATGAATTGCATAGAGCAAGGGAAAGTAAAGGTATGAACTTGCTCCTATCACTGTCAGAGGATGGATCTTTTTTTTATTATTTGTATAAAAATATTATTTAAAATAAAGATTGGGATGTCCAGTCGAGGCTGTGTCGGATTAAATATTATTTTTTTTATTCAGTGGAAGATAGGCTTTCTTGTAGTCACGATTTCTTTCAGATATGTAGAATGGACAGTATGTGGGACTTTTATTTGGAAAAGTAACAAGGAGCAGTCGGTGATCTCACGTGTGCACTGGCATTTGTTTTGAATAATGTTTTAATAAGATACAATAATTATTTTCACGCCACAATATTGAAATGTCTTCAGCACACATGCTTGCATATTCTCGGTAAACAAAAAAACAAGTGTCACTTCGTCTCTTAATGCGTTAACGTTACATCAATGTGTTGTGTAAGTTCTTAGCGAGTTAGCTAACAAAACTCAAGTACAGCACGGGATTTTAAATGCTCCTTTCGCTTAATCAAATCAGTTCATAAGACTAAAATGGCTTTAAGATTACCTTTGGTTGGAGCTTTACGTTATATCGGCTCCAGGACGAGTGTAGTTAGTGCACAACGACTGTTCTGCTCTCAAAAGACAGGACAAGGATCTTCTGACACTATAAGGGTGAGAACTCACTTCTCTCTTAGATCCTTAAACTAATTACAGTGGCGTTGTTCTTACGCCCAGGATAGTCTAATAAATATTTTGCACGCATATATAGACTTGGGAGTGTACTCTCTCGAGCTTGTACATATCATAGAATAAATATCATTAAACCCTAGCGAGCTTTCCACCCAGGCATAAGTGTCATGTTGATTGTGTGTCATAGGTGCTGTATGATGGAGAATGCCCAATATGTGTTAAAGAAATAAGCTTTCTTCAGTTTCTTGAGAGAAATAGAACGGAAAAAGTAGATTTTGTGGACATCTCACTGCCAGCGTATGATGGGAGCAAATATGGAGTCAGTTATGAGATGGCAATGGAGGAAATGACGGTAATTGATGAGAAGAAAACGGTGAGTGGTCTTTTTTTCTTCTTTTTTTTTTTTTTTTACAATGTGGCAAGTCCCAAAAGCATTTAAAAAGTCCACCCAATAATGAAATCATCATATACTCACCCTCATTTCATTTCGTTTGAGGCATATATGACTGCCTTTCTTCTGTTGAACATAAAGGAAGATATTTTGAAGAATGTTGGGAAAGAAAATGGTTATCAAGATTCTTAAAAATATCTATAAAATAATATAAATGTTATGCATTTTTTCACCTTTGATTCTTTTGACTTTTTTCATGAGTTCTCACTGGTTTTCCTCAGTATAAATTATTCTGAAACATTTCGATGGTTTTTACATTCAAGAAACATCTGATTAAATATATAACTCATTATTCCTCAATGTGACTGTTTGTTCTTCTGAGGGCAGATTCATCGTGGAGTTCCAGCTTTCACAGTGATGTACAGTGCAGTGGGTTTGGGTTGGCTTGGCACGTTCATCTCTCTCCCACTGGTCAGGCCTATAATGGACCGAGCCTATGGGGTGTTTGCAAGAAACAGACTGAAGTGGACTGGCAGAGAGGGCTGCACCACTGGACGCTGTGCTAAAAAAGAGACATAAGGAACAAAACGCTTTAAAACAGATTTTCCAGGTCAATGGATGTATCGTTAGTTACAGCTGTTATTGTTATTTAAGTTTTTTGCATTTAATATTTAAACTTGTCTGAATATAACTGTAATGTCAGTGTGCTCAGAATAATCTTTTATTAAGATCTACAAGTTTACTTTATAAACACTGTGATATCTGTATATACAATAAATTACTCATGCTGGGAGAAAAATAACGTCAGAGTGTTGACAATTTGAACAACTCCAAGGGAACTTTTTCTAAATTTAGAAGCCTCCTGACTGACCATCAAGTGTTAGGATGCAGTGGGACAGATTGTGCTTTAATGAGGGATGGTCAGGGGTTTGCTAGCAGTCCTTTACACCAGCCAAGAGGATTTGAACTTAAGAGTAGGGCGGGATTAAAAACCACAACAGAAACAAGTGTAAACACCACAAGATGTAATCCAAGAGAAAACGAGCACTATATGTGTTTTTGGAAGGAAAGTGAACATTTATTTATCAAGTTCCGAAAAAGAGCACAACAGATAAGACAAAATAACTTACGTTTATTTGCTAAGGCTTTAAGATCTACAAGTGACCCTCAAGTTTAAGCGTGCTTTGTTGAATTAGACTTAACTTGACCTTTTGTCTTAGTGAAGAATAAAATGTTTTTTTTTTTAATGATACAAGTTATAATCATTACTTAACATTTAAAACGTCAAGCTATAATATTATGTATTATAAAAAATATATTCTTCATTTCATTATTAGTTCAGTTATAAATTATGGTGAATATGGGTCTGAGAATAGATACTAAAGTTTGTGTAGCATTTAAATTCTCAGTTGTTTATGGTATGCATTAAGGTCAGCCTTTTCACAATACATTAACAAACTGTTAATATTTTATACGTTGGAAATTACAAAAGAGAAAGTAGTCATTTGGTCTGCTGAATACTTTTTTCCTATGTCTGGCATTTTAAATAGAGGACTTGTTGATTCACTGTGCCTAAGCACATGGATATGGTCATGTTGAACTGTCTGTACACAATGTGATGCAAAGGCCACTACCAGTCCTCATAGATCACAGCAAAGACAAAAGTGGCAAATAGCTGCACTTCTCCGCTGTCCGCCATGTGACCAACAGGCAACTATAAATATGTACTGGAGGTTCATGGAAGTGCTAAACGGTATTTTTCTGACCTACTGTTGACACCTTGGTGTTGGTGTCTTATTTCAGAATTCTGAGCATTGTCACTCTGTTCTTATTCACAGAATGGCTTATAAAATCTACTCTGCAAAATCCCTAAAGAGATTGTTGAGTTAAAAGCTTAATTAAAATTAGCTAATTAAAAAATAAAATTTTATTTAGTCTTTATTTAGTGTGTAATTTGCATAGTGGTATGTGTTTTATTGGAAGACTTGCTTATGTATCAATATTGATAAATGAAAAACATAAGTACACATTTTAAAGCAAATGACTGGAGGATTTGCAGTACCATCTTAATAAATATTGAAAGTGTCAATAAATAAATCATGGAACATGTCGTTAAGTGAATAACATGGAAGTTACATTTAAACATTGATGTATTTTTGAAATTTATTGAACACATTTTTTATTTATTTATTGGCACATGTCATTATTTAACTTTATTAGATTATGTATATAACACACATATACAAATCCTCCATAATTGGCCAGGAGGGGGCGTACAAACATAAATCAACACTATGGTTTTACATTATTAAACATTATTTCGACCTTCATTGTTTTTCCTGTTTGTAGGAGTAAGTTCAAATAACTGACACGTTTTCTTAAATATACACCACAAAGACATAATATGAATGCATATCTATGCTTCTGTGCTGAATTTTGTTGCTACTTTGTATTTGAGACATTCCATGATTCTGATTCTGCTGCCAAAGCTCATTTACTCCTCATTCAGATCATCTGCTTGGTCTCTGTTGTTGTTGGCGCTTCACTGATGGGTTGGTACCTCGACAAGACCCAGGTCACTCACCTGGGGTCAAAGCAGCTCCGATTGCTGTACGAGATGAAGTATCTGCTCACAAACATCAGAAATGTTTCTCACCTTGTCAGGAGGCCTCATAGGTCATGTCAGAGTATCTGCTCCTCTCAGTCTACAAGGAGAATCCCTCTCAAGTCTCATAGATCAAAGAAGACTATCAGGCTTTTGGGGGCAATCAGCAGTAATATGAAATATGAGAATGTATTGGGCCTTCAGATGTATCCATTATACTCTACCTCCAGTAGAGAGACTTTCAAAGCAAAAGCTCCCATTGGAGTTTACCAGCACAGCAGGACTACTTTTCAGCTGCGCTTACTTGGACTGAGATTAGGAGAGTCTTTTAATTGTCTTTCCAGACACGTAAACGTGTACTTTAAGCAGAAACAGGTATTTGTGGTAGATTATTGGCAAGGTGGGTGTGGAACTGCAAACTAGAACATCCAGACGAGTTCAGAGAGAGAGAGAGACGCACTGGAGAGTCCAGAGCTTTTTTAGGGACACCTGCCATTGTGCAGGTCCATGAAGTTTCCTCAAATCAACCTTTGACCTCAGCCTATCCTGGACTACAGTTGTTCCACATTAGTTCCTTGGTAAACAGGTTTGGGGAGAGTTACAGTTATGTGGCCAATCACATTAACTCTGCATTCTCTAGAAATCCAGCAAAGCAAATTCATATAGAGGTATTACCGCGGGAAGTAGGGGTGCTGCAGCACCCCCTGGCTCGGAGCTAAAGAAAAAATGGGGGTGCTGGGGGTGCGGTGTTAACAGTAATAAAATTAAAATTTTGTAACAAAAAAGAAATAAAACTAATTTTATTAATTTGAATATTCATTAAAATCATAGGGGAAAAAAGCTTAACGACAATAAGCAACAATTGTCGCGTGACGTCACCACGTCCGCATCCGTCATTGAAGATTTAAAAATACACCAGTCAACATGGCGCAAAAACGCATTTCTGATTTTTTCGCGAAGCCC